ACAACATGTACCGCGGCGTGCATTGCTCGCCCAATCTGATCCATTCGTCCATCTACACTACTACGCTAGCGCTTAGCTCGTGCCCTAGCTGGGATTCAGCGAGCATGCAAGGTTTGGTCAGGTAAGCGATGATATGCTAACCGAGTTTCCAGGGCCTTTTTCGGTGACCAGTGAATCGGAGAGTGAGCTACATCAAAACTAATGAGTGATCAGACTTGAAGCAGGTGGTTCAATAGGACCCGTAGTTTTTAATGAGCCATATCAACGGTAGCTTACTGCTACGTGGTCGGCCTTAACCAGCTTACCATTTGAATTAGAGCACTGTGTCGAGAACTGTGTGAAGTTGGTACCAGACAGGAAAAAAATGATTTGCGCAGAACTGAAGCAGTTGGTCACCGTTATCTGTTCGCTGACAGGTCAGAGCAAGACGACCGCCTAGGCAAGCTTCCGATGCGCTCAATGTTCCGACATGCGCGTTGAAATCATAAGAATACCGAAGCTTGGGCTCAACTAAATGCGTTTGGTGAGTTATCGTAAAACTCGTGTTTTTGTGCGTAAGATTCGCAATTGTTCAGTGCAAATGTTTCGATGATAAAAAAAACTTTTGGTGTTCCATCCCTTCCGGACGCTAATGAAACCCTGGAGACGCATTACACAATCGATTGTTGACGGGGATCCAATCAATTATTCAAGCCTCAGCTCTATTATTCAGTAGTGCTTGCTCTATGCTGACCGAGGTTCGTCGTCTCCTGATGTGCGGAGGTAATGCTTCAGGGACAAAACCGGAGCACTTAATTGGCTTATAGTATTAAGATCCTGAGTTGGGATCTCCGAATCGCAGTAGACATCAATCCCCGAACGAGTCCATTGCACGCGTCGGACCCACTTGCACCGGAGTCTTCACTTTGCAGGCCCAGTAGATCCAGTGGTTGATGAGTCTTCAGAATTCTAAATGTGTGTGGTGATAAACTACTTGCAGCGTTATTTGGCGAGTGACAGCCAATTTGCTTGAGGGACTGTTACAGACCAGACGAAAAGGTAAAGGGAGAAGGCTAGGTGCGGAGGACCAAGGATTAACCTAATGTTGTGATTTCTGAACAATAGCCCACTTATCACCACCCATCCCGCTCGATGCAATGGGTAGCACGGTCCTGATTGACCTGTGTGTCGACCGATACCTTATGGAATTGTTTGGTTTGTGTATACCTTGGAGTTTGATGGACGGGTACTGCCAGAGTGTCCAACCATTAAGCATACATCACCAAGCCACACGCACTGCCGTAAGCAATACTGGAAAGTGACTAAAGATAACATGGAAGCTACAACCGTCGCAGTGGCCTTTGGAATGATATTTTGTCTAATCCGTGTAGCATGGAGAATGAGACATAAATCGGAGTCACTTGCGCATCAAAAGGGAAATAAACAGAAAATGCAAAGGTGGATCGATTGCTTCAGCCGTTCATCAGACATCATCGTACAGCAAAGTATAATGAAACGAACTTCCTTGGTTGCTGCCAATCATCATAATTGTACAGCGTAATACAGTGAAGTGATCTTCACTGATCGCTGCCAAAATCATATTGCATACGAGGTAACTGAGAATGTGTAAGGAGGATAGCATCAGACTTCATTTTGGTGACGGGAAAGGAAAGCGAACCTCTATGGACAACACAGAGTAAACAGTTCAACTGAGCATACTTAATATTTCAGACATTCTGGTCTGATGAGAAGTGACAGCATGATCGCCATTGTGTCGGTCAGCAGCCACGACCTTCGGTGTCTTC